GGAAAGAAAAGCGCCGAACCACTCGAGGTCACCAGTGAACACTTTTTTTTTGTCTCTCAAAAAATCCACAAATCCAGATGGTGGGACAGCAGGCAGACGAAGTGGCCTCCCTATGTAAGATCATGCAATGCTGCTGTTTTCTTCTGAAAGCAGCCAGCGGCGTTGCGGCAGCTGTGGCAGGCGGCAGCCAATGACGCCGACGGCTGCTGGGGCGAAACGTGACGTTCGACGGCAGACCGCCGCCCTTGCGCGGACCGGCTTGGCACGTCGAGGTCGAGGCTGGGCCCTAAAAGGGCACACCTGGGGAGGGGCCCTGGGCTCGGGCCTCCCCCCTCCTTGGCCTACCTCAGGCTCGGTAGGCAGGGGGCGTGTCATTGTAGGGGGGGGTGGCCTTCCATTTGTTTTCTGCGGGACGATCTCATTCGGACGCAAGTGATGGGCCTGAGGTGTGGGCGGACGTGGCGCCAGGCTCATTGTGGCTTGCGTGCCTGTCGGAAACAGAAGGCGGACAGCGAGACCGGTGGATTAGGCGGGCCACCCGGCAGGCGTGACTTGACTCAGACAAGCGAGGGCGGATGGATGAGGAAGACCTCTGTCTCACTGGGTGGCTGCTTTTCCCTGGCTTTGTTTGCATGACTGAGAGCCCTGCGTGCGTGTGTGATGAATGCTGATGCATCCCGCTGCTGTCGCATTCCACAACATGAGGCGACGTAAATGTGCGCTTGGTGCGGGACGCTACACCGTGCCAGGTGCTCTGCGTCCTGGGGCAGGCTGCTCAGCCATCAGACGATGCGGACGGTTGAAAGCAGATGAACGGAACCAAGCGCTCGTCTGCCGGGTACATACTTCGTACCGACGCGTGGAACTGTCACCTCGTCCATCTTTGTCGAGTGCCAAACCGAAAGACAGCTGAAGTTAGTCACCTTGTGAAGCCTCGCTCACTGATGCCCAGCCATCCGTCTGGCTCGGCTGGGGCTCATCGATCTACGCGCCTGGTTGCGGGCGGTTAGGGAGGGCCGATCTCCTGGGTCTGTTTCCCCCCTTCCCTCCCCCCCCCAGCCTACACCTTCACATTCCCGGTTGGCCTGAGGCCCCAGCTTGAGCTTGTCCACCCCCATCCCGCGAGAAAACGAGATCGGTCATCGGTGCGACGGTGCCTCAGAGACAGACTCTTTGCACGTGAGCTGCAGAAGCTGTTCAATCAAGGCCACCCTGCATTCCTCCCCTGGTTCTGCTTGCTGTGTGTTTCATAGCCTCGCTGTCAGTGGTGATGCCTTCATGCTTACAACTCGCTGCAAAAACCTGGCGTCGCTTTCGTCTCGCCTTTCGATGTTTGCTCCGACGGCCAGCACGTGCCTCGTCTCGAAGTCTCGAACTCGACTGAATTGCGAGGCAGGAATTGCTCAGATGACAAGACAAAACAGTACGTACCGTGTGGTTGGTTATGCGATAGCCAAGGAGGTGGCCAGATCTCAACTGGGTAGAGTGTGGGTTAGGAGACCCCGAAAGGATATGGCGCCGTCTGGCGCCGGCGACTGACCTTTGTTGGACACATCATGGTTCATCCTGACGACGGATTGACTGGCTCAGGCGCTATCAGACTGGATCCCGGATCAGTTCATCAGGGGAGACCCAGCTCGGTTTCGAGCCAGCCAGACCCTTTTGCCTCTCCACGAACAGGTGCCCTAAGGTGTCAGATTGCCATCTGCCCTGTCCAAGAACCGACACTACATTGGTCCAAGCCCGTCCGTTGGAGCATCTACATGTACATCGACCGGTACCTGCCTCGCGTAGTCAGCCGGCGTCTGGATACTGTACCTCGATCAAGTACCTTGAGCGGGCGGGCGGGCGGGCCCTTGTCTCCTCCCCTCCCCCCTCCCAGCTATATGCGTATGTACTGTCTTGCTACTACTACTACTGAGGTGCTGCTGGACTTCTCCTGCTGGGGCGTGTGGGCTGCTGCTTGTGGTCCCGCACCATCTCGACCTGCAGCGCTGTCTTGCCTGCGAGCATTCAAGGGCACTGTCACTGCACCTGCACCTGCTTCCACTGCTGCCACCTTGCTCTTGTTGCTTGCTTCGTTAGCTAGCCGTACAGCGAATCTCCACACCACCATCACGCATGCATGTCCACACGCACCCGCGTTGCCCACCACACCCTCTCACCCGGATCCTTCCTCCCCTCTCTCTCCTCCTTCCCTTGCGCACAAAGCTCACACACGCAGGTGCAGCTGCCATGCCACGCCGCCCCCAGCCTGCCTGACCAGGCCAAGCTCGCACGTCACCCCCCTTCTTCCGTCTCGACAGGCGACATGGCGCCAAGAGACGATATGCGCAGAGTAACCTCGTCTCACCGGGGCGCGCCAGCGAATGAACACGGCGCCACCGAGATAGAACCCGTCGCAGCACACCACGCCCTTACCCCCCCCCTCCCCTGGATACGTGCCACGCCCCTTTGGCAACTTCCCCCGCCCTTTTCTGTTTCCCTCTTCCCACGCCCCCTCTCAAGGTGCCTCGCTCACGCCCCCCTCCACTTTTGTCTTGCGGCGCTGCGGCGCATGCGGGTTGTATGATGAGCAAACGAGCAAGCAGCACAGGAAAAGAAAAAAGCATGGAGGGTCGACACGGGACAGACATGAAGCCGGTGGGAGCTGGCCTTGCACGAAGGGGACAAGGCCATTTCTCCTGATCGTTCGCTCGCTTTGCATTTCGCCTGCGTCTCTCGAGGAGTGCGCCTGCTAAAGGAGGAGCGTAATGACTGGCTGGTTTTCCGATAAACCCTCGACTGCATGTAGCTCGTGGCTTTTTTTTCCCTTTCTTTGCAGCACGAAGCGGGTGCATCGTCGCTTGTTATCCTATTATTCCCTGTTGCAGGAACGGGATGTGGCGCGAGATGAGCAAGCGGCATCGATTGCGATGCGGTATCTGTGTCGCCAGGGAGAGCATGCACGCATAGCAGCACCTATCCCACGAGAGAGGCTACGGCACACGGTGACTCTCTGCTTCGTCGAAAGTTCACGATGCATTGGATCAGAGTCAGTCATGTGCCATGGGGGACTAGCGCACCATTACAATTGAATGGTCATTTATGGGTGAGGAAATATCACCGAGATGATCGCTTTGTCTTCAAGGACAATTTATCAGGTAATCAAAAGGTGGACGAGGCATTCCTCCCTTCTTTCTGGTGACAGAACTGTTGGGCGACGGGGTGAGGAGGAAGATGTGAGGATCGGACACGTGGGTAATTCCCCAAGACCTGCCTAGCGGCGAAACACTCTGCCCTGCCTGCCCTGGTGGCCCTGGAGCCCCGGAATGCTTTGCTGAACGTTAGGTAGGGTAATTTAGCAGCAGAATTATGCTCCCCACCCTGCTTGTACGTCAACAGCTTTTGCCGGCGGTAGCTGGTATCGTCTGAGCCGAGGATGCCTCGTTTTTAGGGGGTTGTTCGAGAGGGAAGCGGTGACTGGGTCAAACCCAGACCGGCAAGACGGAGAATCCAGGGCACCCACCATATTACGAGGTTGTATTTTCCATGTCAGCCCCCCCCCCACATTGTCGGGGCGGTTTGTACTCTTGCGGCGCCTTGTCGTGGACGGTGAAAACACAAGAGGCGTGATGCTTGTGGATTTGATCCATAGTAATTGCTTCCACCATGTTCCAAAATAACGTCCATGCCTGGCGTAAAAGTGTTCATCGACTACGTGAGAAGCCCGACGGTCTATGGAGTGAGGTGCAGGTCAGGTATGGCTTGCGGCGAAAACTCTACCTTGAGTCTGACTGAGCCTGAGCTTGAGCTTGATCTTGATCTTGACTTTGCATGCGTCCAATTTTTATTTGACCCAAAGAAATGTTCGCGCCGCTTGTTTGATGGGGGACCGTTTGCTTTGCGCTGAAGCCTGATGATAAAAAAAAAATAAACAAGCCAAGCGACGATCAGCAGGACAGATATACTCTACGCCGGCTGTCGCCATCGTGGGCTGAAAAGCTTCAGGCCCTGCAAAATAAAGGACATCATGCGGGCATGGCTGACAGGTCTGGTGGTGCTAGGTGACGGGGTCAACCAGCGCGCGTTGGGGCGGGTTGGCGGACACCGGCTACCCTGCCCCCCCCCCCCCCCCTCTCAAAGCCCAGCTACCAAGGGGCTTGAGGGGATCGGGCAGCCCACGCCCGGGGCTTGACCCGCGGATAGAGACATGTGCGATGTACCTTACCGACCAGATTGGAAAGACGGGATGTGGACAGGCCACCAAGCGTCGAGGGGAAGACGAACAGGGGGGGGAGGGGGGCTGGAATCGCTGGATCCGTCATCCCAGCCACAGCCTCCACACCCACGACCCCTGTCCATTCTTAAGACCCGCACTTCCTAAACGCCCGCCGTGGAATTACCGGGAGGAGGTCAGCGCAAACTCACCTAACCCACCCCTTCCCCTTCACTCCCAAAGAACGCTGCGCGGCTTCCCCCCAATTTCTTCCTGTCGCCAACTCGATCCTGGCCTGGAACGCATCTTCTCGTCTGTAGACTGATCACGACCTCCTCGACCGCCATCAGCATCCCCCCACCTGTGCCTCTCCATCCCTACCTGACATTGCGATCAAGGGGAACGGGCACGACGAGGGTCAATTCCTTACAGCTGTCAAAGTTTATTTCTCCATCCTCGTCGCGCCGTTGTCTCGTCCGACCTCGTCGGAGCACATCCTCGGTGTATGGTCTACCAAAAACATCGGTAGCCATCCCAGACCAGAACGATAGACAGAGGTCAGCTGACGTCTGTCTGGTCTGCACCCTCTCGACACGCCGTCGTTTCTCTCATCAGCTCGAGCATCACCGCCGGCTCGCATTGCGATCGCAGCTGTCGATTCGCACCCCCAGCCTCGCCTTCGCCTGTCGCGATAGTTCCGTGTCCATCGCTCTCGTAGGCCGAGCAAGCCTTGACCTGCTACACCCAAACCTCTGTTCACGACGCGATCATTGCCATGGCAAACCATCATCCTTCGCCGACAATGGCGATGCAGGCGCAACATGGCCCTCCTGGGCCGCCCCCGCCCCCAGGTCCTCCCCAGCAAGGCCAGGGTTTCGCGCCATCGCGCCAAGCGTCCTTTGTCATAGAAGCCATGTGGATGCAGGTTGGTAAGTATATTGGTGACCATTCCTTATCGGCACGGAAGATTAACTGTGATTTCAGGCAGCTGCTGCGAAGCGCTCGGTGATCTCGACGAGGCCATCTTGGCGTACGAGGCCGCTCTGCGGGCGAATCCCCAGTCCATCCAGGCTATGAACGCCATCAGCTTGATTCTGCGAACCCGCGAGCACTTCGCGAAGGCCGTCGAATATCTACAGGCCGTTCTCAAAATTGATGCGCACAATGGCGAAGCCTGGGGCAGCCTTGGTACGCAAATCCCTAACCTCCATGCCCTCAGTCTCACGGCCTGTTAACATGTAGTATAGGTCATTGCTACCTTATGATGGACGACTTGCAACAGGCATACAGCGCGTACCAGAATGCTCTCGTCAACCTACGCAACCCCAAGGTCAGCTACCGCGAACACTTGATACCGTGCTTGGTTTACTGACCTCTCCTCAGGAGCCCCGATTGTGGTATGGCATCGGCATTCTGTACGACCGATATGGTTCCCTCGAGCACGCCGAAGAAGCCTTCTCCCAAGTCATGCAGATGGATCCGGCGTTCGAAAAGGCCAACGAGATTTACTTCCGTCTCGGTATAATTTACAAACAGCAACAGAAATATGGCCCAAGTCTCGAGGTACGTTCTTCCTCCCCAGAAAGGTGACATGCCTTACTGACCATCAACTAGTGCTTCAAATACATTGTGTCATCACCGCCTTCCCCCCTGAGCGAGGAAGACATCTTGTTCCAGATCGGCCATGTTCACGAACAGCAGAAGGACGTAAGTTTCGCCATTCACAGCAGACCGGAGCACGGTTGACATGTATGCACACAGTATGATAGTGCCAAAGCAGCCTACCAGCGCGTCCTCGAGCGCGATCCCAGCCACGCCAAGGTACTGCAACAGCTCGGCTGGCTTCATCACCAGGAGAGCACCAACTACCAAAGTCAAGATCGGGCTATCGAGTTCCTCGAGAAATCAGTCGCTGCCGACCAGAACGACGCACAGAGCTGGTATCTTCTCGGACGATGCTACATGTCGCAGCAGAAATACCCCAAGGCTTACGAGGCTTACCAGCAGGCCGTCTACCGCGACGGTCGGAACCCAACCTTTTGGTGCTCGATCGGTGTGCTATATTATCAGATCAATCAGTACAGGGATGCTCTCGATGCTTACTCGCGCGCTATCCGCCTCAACCCGTTCATCTCGGAGGTTTGGTATGACTTGGGTACTTTGGTAAGCTAATAGACCTTTTCCCCCGATGGTACACCCCAGCTCACAAAATTGGCAGTACGAGTCCTGCAACAACCAGATCAGCGACGCCTTGGACGCTTATCAGCGTGCTGCGGAGCTTGATCCCGCCAACCCTCACATCAAGGCGCGACTGCAGCTCTTGCGCAATGGTACCGCCAATGGAGCACCGCTGCCCCGCGCACCTGAGCCATCTGATATCCACGCCGCCTCTTACCAGGTCGGCCCACCGGCGCCCCCGTGGGCAGGTTCCGGGCCTCAACAGCAACAGCAGCAGCAGCAGCAGCTCCCGCCGCAGCCTCCTCCACCGGCGGCCGGCCCCGGCCAACACTCTTGGGGTCGTCTCGCGGATATCAACCCTCCTCCCCAACCGGGCAACCCGTTTGACCAACGAGGAGAGCAGTTCCGCGGCCCTGCGCCCCCTCTTCGCCAGCCAAGCCCCCCTCGTCAGGAGCAGCACGCGCGCCCTCAATATCCTGAGACCAGCCGTCCTGGCTCGGTCCGCCGGGGGCCTACTCCCCCCCCTCCGGTCCACTATTCGTCTGGCCCTCCTCCCCCTCCTCAGTCTCACCAGGCTCCTACCTCGCAGCCGCGGGTGCCTAACCCCAACTATGTCCCTACGCCTTCCTCAGCACAAATGCCATCAATGAATCCTGGCCCGAACGGGGGACCGCCACCCAGTCAACCCCCCTTCCGCGGTGCCAACAGCCCAAGGCCTGGAGAGCGTCCCGTTCACGAGAACCGCATGCCTTCGCCCAAGTCGGCTTACCCCCAGCACCAGCCTCCTCCCCCAGCTCCTTATGGACACCACCCAGAGGGACCCGGCACGCCCCTGGAGGGCCCGCAGCAGCAAGCACCGGCTCCCATGTCAGCCGAACCGGCGCCACGGAGCGAACATGATCGACCAGCGTCAGTTGGACCTAAACGCATGCGCGAGTGGGAGGAAGAGTCGACGCACAAGCGTCCCGCCAACGATGAGAACAGAGCCCGTCTTGATGACGTCCGTCCTCGCAGGCCTTCGACCCCTCCCGGCCCACGCGAGCCATATAGGCGAAACTCATCTGAAGCTCGCCGATTCGATGACCAACGTCGCCTCGATGACCAGCGTCGGGCGGACGACCAGCGTCGGGCGGACGACCAGCGGAGGCAAGACGACCAACGGAGGCAAGACGATCAACGGAGGCAAGACGATCAACGGAGGCAAGACGACATGCGCAGAGCCGAGGAGCAACAGCGCCAGCCTCAGAACGATGGATATCACCCCTCTGATGCCGCTCACCACCCGCCTGGCCAGCCCTTGTCCGCTAATCATTTGCCTCCCATGCAGGCGTCAGCCGCACCTATGCAAGGCGTCGTTCACGGAAGCCCCGTCCAGAACGCGCCGCCTGCTCCTCCGTCAAAGGAGTACCCTGCCGCTGAGGAACGTCCTGCATCTGAGCAGGCTCCTCCTGTGCGCTCTGCTGCTCCGAGCGAGCCTGAGCGAGCTGCTCGCAAGATGGACGTTGATGAAGATTACGATGATAGTGGTGAGGACGAGAAGAAGGTCCCAGCAGCGACCACGAATGGATCAGGCCCCGCGCCGGCTGCGGGCGAGACCAAGCCGCCCACAAGCGGCAGCGTCAACGGGTCGTTGGGGCCTCAGCCTAAGGTTGAGTCCACCTAATGCAAGAATCAAAGGCCTGACTGGCCGGGTTGTGTTTTCTTTTGTCCGTCTTCCGTACCGATTCCCTTTCATTGCCTTGTATACCACTTCATTTTTACAGACCAGCTCTCTCGAGAAGGCTTTCGTTTGACGAGGACTCGGCGCACGACGGCTTATCTCGACAGTTTCACGAATGAACATAAATCAAAGACCAGTTTCGCTTGCCTTCGGTCTACAGGACTGAGTTCTGTATGATGTGTGACCGTGAAGTGATCTTGTAGCTGACTGGTCACGTGATGACAATTGGAGAGACGAACCTTCGGCGGGGCGCTAGCGGGCTCTAGCTCTGACGACTGGACCACTCGCACAGAACCACCCCACCAAATCAAGAAAAGTATGGCACACGTGACTAGGGTACCCGAGCCAGCCGCCAATCGAGTGCACCAAACACCACTGAGCAGGAGCAAAACTCCAAAGTGGGTCGACCTAGGGCTTTTTTTCTCGCAGTGGCTGCCCTCCCATCTGGTCGACTTTTGCGAACCACCATCTAGACACCCTCTTCCTCATACCTCTCCGATTGATCACCCTCACAACCCACGAGATCAGTCGCCCAACATGTCTCACCGAAAGTACGAGGCCCCTCGCCACGGTTCGCTGGCGTACCTGCCGCGCAAGCGTGCCGCCCGTCACCGCGGAAAGGTCAAGTCGTAAGTTGCAGCGTTCCCCGGGAAGAAAACGTCGGCTGGTCCGCTGGAAGAGAAGAGAAAATCAAAGTCTCTGACATCTCGACTCTCGCACAGCTTCCCCAAGGATGACCCCAAGAAGCCCGTCCACCTGACGGCCACCATGGGCTACAAGGCTGGTATGACCACCATTGTCCGCGACCTCGACCGTCCCGGCGCGAAGGCCCACAAGAAGGAGGTCGTTGAGGCCGTGTCCATCATTGATACCCCCCCTGTACGAGCAACGCAGCCCGCTTGGCTTGAGTGCCTATGGCTAACATCTTCTAGATGGTCGTTGTTGGTCTCGTGGGCTACATCGAGACTCCCCGCGGTCTGCGTTCGCTCGCCACCGTCTGGGCCGAGCACCTGAGCGACGAGGTCCGTCGTCGCTTCTACAGGAACTGGTACAAGTCCAAGAAGAAGGCCTTCACCAAGTACGCCAAGAAGCACTCCGAGTCCAGCGGTGCCTCCATCACCCGCGAGATTGAGCGCATCAAGAAGTACTGCTCCGTCGTCCGTGTCCTCGCCCACACTCAGATCCGCAAGACGCCCCTCAAGCAGAAGAAGGCCCACCTTATGGAGATCCAGGTCAACGGTGGCTCCGTTGCCGACAAGGTCGACTTCGGCTACGGTCTCTTCGAGAAGGAGGTGTCCGTTGACTCCATCTTCGAGCAGGACGAGATGATCGATGTCATCGCCGTCACCAAGGGTAAGGGTTTCAACGGTGTCACCTCCCGTTGGGGCACCAAGAAGCTTCCTCGCAAGACCCACAAGGGTCTGCGTAAGGTCGCCTGTATCGGTGCCTGGCACCCTTCCCACGTCCAGTGGACTGTTGCCCGTGCCGGTCAGATGGGTTACCACCACCGTACCTCGGTCAACCACAAGGTTTACCGTATCGCCAAGGCCGGTGCCGAGGACAGCGCCTCCACCGAGCTCGACGTCACCAAGAAGGTTATCACTCCGTACGTTCTCCCGTTCCATGATTTACCAAAAAAACGTATTAGCTAACAGAACTCCAGCCTTGGTGGCTTCGTCCGCTACGGCGAGATCAACAACGACTTCGTCATGGTCAAGGGCTCCATCCCCGGCCCCAAGAAGCGTGTTGTCACTCTCCGCAAGTCCATGTTCGTCCACACCTCGCGCCGCTCCAACGAGAAGATCACCCTCAAGTGGATCGATACCTCGTCCGAGTTCGGACACGGCGCCTTCCAGACGCCCGCGGAGAAGAAGCAGTACCAGGGTACTCTCAAGAAGGACCTCGTCGCTGCGTAAAAAGTCTTTCGACAGCTGGGGGTTTTCTTGTATCTGGGTCATTGCAAAGGTGTCGAGGGTTCTTTCTCGCGCTTATCGGGACGGTTTGGGGCATTCAAAACGGTTGACTTGAGGAGCCACGAACCCAAGAACGAAGAAAGGAATGATATCCCATGAATAATGCTTGAGCGTGATGTGAAAATGATTTGTGTATGGGAATGCAACTGATGTGTAACTTGAATATGACGCCGCCTGTAATGCAGCTCAACCTGTCTGTTCGACGTGAGCTATTGTCAGTGTGGGTCATTCGCTCATCGTGGTGTCGCCCGAGGAATCTGGACCAGTGGGAAGAGGTTGCGTCATTCCACCCAAGCAAGTCTGCTTGCTGCACCACCCACCCTTCCACCATGGCTGCTGTCTACCTTCCCAAGCTCTCTTCTTCTGCAACAACAAATTCTGCGATACGATTCACGTCGACACTCCGAACCATTCAATCCATCTGCTCGACACGAACAACACCTATCTCGCAGTTGCTCATTCCTCTCCAACCCATCCCTCTTCGAGCCGGGCGGAACATCACCACGACCTCTTTCACAGCCTTCCACGCAACACCCCGCACAATGGGCTCGGACGAAGACTACATGGCTTTCCTCGACAAGGCGAACGAGGACCCCTCTGCCGGTCGTGCTAAGCCAGCCAGCGCTTCCGGAGGCGGCGCCCAGCTGAAGGCGCAGGACAACGGCGTCGAGGTGCCCGAGGCGATTGCGGCACAGCTCAAGGGCGGAGACAAGATCTACGTGTCCGAGGCGGACGAGCCATTCGAGGGCGTCGCGCTCAGCTGGAGCAAGGGGTTGCCTGACGAGGGTAGGTCGTGCCCTTTTGTCCAGATGAACCTGACAATGAGAATGCTAATGCAAGAGTGCAGTACAATTCGCAGAGCTGGTGGAGCACCCTGAGCCGAAAGACGCGGACGTCGAGATCCTGGATCCCTTCGACTGGGACTCCGAGGGCAACTACAAGGAGCTGATCGAGGCGGTGAGGGAGGCGAGCAAGGGGAACGACGTGAGGGTGTACAAGATTTCGCGGGGCGGTGCGAGGTTCGAGTACTGGGTCCTGACGGTGCTTGGTGAGGGCAAGGATGGCAGATTGGTCGGTGCCAAGGCACTGTCGGTCGAGTCTTAGACCAATAGTTTTGGGGAGCGGTTGAAAGGTCAATGTCAAGTGTAAGTAGCACAAAGTGATGGTCTCATCGGGGCTTTGTTCACACATGTTGTGCCTTGTCGCAAGACACAGTGATGACGCTCGGCAGTGTGGTCTCATGAGTATCACTTCTTGCTGGAAACTCGGGGGGGACGCAGATTGTCATGTCCCATGCAAGTCAGTCCGTCCTCGCGGCGTTCTCCATCTTCCAAAACACCATAGGTAGGTAAGTCATCATCTTGACCAGTCTCTCGGTGTGGTCCCCACCCCCAGAAGGCCTTGGTGGTGGGCCCGGCAGCTGTCCCTCCGCTTATCGCCGTTATCGGGCAAACCGTCTAGCCACGACCCCTCCAACAACTGGGATGTTCGGAAATCTTTCGACGGGTGTAGACAGCGTCGTAATGAGTCAAAGGTTAACACCGCCTAATCTGCCGCGTACCCCTTAGAGCCTCCCCTCGAGGCCAGATCACCATGGCTGTTTCTGTAAAACCTCACCCTACGCCAATTGACACTGAAATCCACTGACCATGTCTTCCCAGCGTGGTGTCATCCCCTCACTCGAGACGGTGAGGAGCATCGTCGACGCTCCTGCACCATCCTCCGGCAAGAAGCCCAACCTCATTCCTGTCTACCGTCAGATCACCTCCGACCTCATTACCCCGTCCGCTGCCTACTTGAAGGTGTCGGCCCACAACCCCGACTCGGACTATTCGTTTCTCTTCGAAAGCGCCGCCACCGAGCGTGTTGGTCGTTACAGCTTCGTCGGTGCCGGGCCACGAAAGGTCCTCACCACAGGTCCTGGCTTTGGTCCAGAATGCGATCCACTACCGGCCCTCGAGGCTGAGCTTGCCCAGTATACTGTCGCCCACGTTCCCGGCTTGCAGCTTCCACCCATGACAGGCGGAGCCATTGGGTATGCGTCATATGATCTCGTCCGATACTTTGAGCCCAAGACGGCGCGGACAATGAAGGATGTTCTACAGATCCCCGAGAGCTTGTTCATGCTGTTCGACACGATTGTGGCTTTTGATCGCTTCTACGGCATCATCAAGATCATCACATTTTTGCACGTTCCCGAAGATCCCGCCCAAATCGAGGCCGTGTACGAAGCCGGCAAGAACACGATCGACGAGCTCATCGCCGTGCTCAACGCCCCCGAGATTCCGCTTCCCGAACAGGGCCCCATCGAACTGGGCCACGAATACACCTCCAACATTGGCCAGGCCGGCTACGAGGGCCACGTCCGCACCCTTAAGGAGCACATTGTCAAGGGCGACATCATCCAGGCCGTGCCCTCCCATCGCCTCGCGCGCCCGACGTCACTGCACCCCTTCAACATATACCGCCACCTGCGCACCGTCAATCCGTCGCCCTACCTCTTCTACATCAACTGCCGCGACTTCCAGATCGTCGGCGCCTCGCCGGAGCTGCTCGTCAAGTCGGAGAACGGCCGCGTCATCACGCACCCCATCGCCGGCACCGTCAAGCGCGGGCGCACGCCCGAGGAGGACGAGCGCCTCGCCGACGAGCTGCGCAGTTCGCTCAAGGACCGCGCCGAGCACGTCATGCTCGTCGACCTCGCGCGCAACGACGTCAACCGCGTCGGCGACCCGCGCACCGTCAAGGTCGACCACCTCATGGTTGTCGAAAAGTTCAGCCACGTCCAGCACCTCGTCAGCCAGGTCTCGGGCGTGCTGCGCCCGGACCAGACCCGCTTCGACGCCTTCCGCAGCATCTTCCCTGCCGGCACCGTCAGCGGCGCCCCCAAGGTGCGCGCCATGGAGCTCATTGCCGAGCTCGAGGGCGAGAAGCGCGGCGTCTACGCCGGCGCCGTCGGCTACTTTGGCTATGGCGGCCTCGACGACAAGGGCGACGACGTCGAGGGCGCCATGGACACGTGCATTGCGTTGAGGACCATGACGGTCAAGGACGGTGTGGCGTACCTGCAAGCCGGTGAGTCTACAAAGTCCTCCCTTACCCTTTTTCACACCCCGAAGGAGTTACAAAAGTATATGCTAACATGACCGGCTAGGCGGCGGCATTGTCTTCGACTCGGACGAGACAGATGAGTGGGTTGAGACGATGAACAAGCTCGGCGCGAACATCAACTGTGTCACTACAGCTGAGGAGCTATACTATGAGCAGCAGCAGCAGCAGAAGCAGGAGGAGGCTGGCAAGGCGTAGAATACCAAACTTTCGATTCACCTCCACGATATATTGATTGTATTGCATGCGCGGACGTGACAAGGGGGAATCTCGCTTCTCAGGTGCTCATGTCACAGGGGGGAGGGGAGGTTGGGGAAAGACCCACGCATGTTGGACAAGATTCTGCCCGCGGCCACCGCCCTCGGCACCACTATAAAACCAGCTCGATTCTCGTCCACCTTCTCTTCTTGACCTTCTTTCCTTTCTTCATACTTACCTTGTTCAGTCGAGAGAAGATCATGAATTTCTCTCGGCAAAGAGGATGGCCTACATTGCACAACGTGGAGTCGGCCTCTTTCGATTGTCCTTCGGGGCCATCGTGGGCGGAATTTTTGATTTACAACCTTGTTTTCATTGCTACTGCTGCCTTGTGCAGCTTGGTGAAGAAGACAGTGTTCGGGGTAGTAAGCTGGTCAGAGCTGGCATTGGGAGCTGTTCACGAGGGTCCGTACGGCTACTTGCGTGTTGCTGTGTATGTATTTCTATAGACAGCTCTGTCTTGGTGGTTTGAAAGAGTATCTTCATGACGAACGATGGAATGGCATTATTATCATTAATTGCCTTTACGACTTGATGCCACGCGTGCTTGCCCTAGACGCATACTGTCAGCATCCCAGTGTTTTTTAAGCAGTTCTTGTAGCATAGATCAGTCACCCACCACATCATGACACAGAAGAAGCTGCGTTCTGATCACGTTTGTACGCCTCAGCACGGCACAGCGCAGTAGTACCGTACTGTAAGTGCTACCCACAGGACGACCTAGGGAACTGGATACCTTGATCGAATAAAGACCATGTTGCCGTGTAAATCTGGAAGACTGGTCTGTTCGCTGACGCCGGCCTGACAAGAAGTCAGCACGCCATCAGCTTGAGGCGTGAAGTGCCACCCAATATTACAACGGCAGTCGTCGGTCATCACGGTAACTTGATCATAGCATGAGGTGTATAGACTCGATTAATCTATGGGCCGATCATCAGCCGCTGCCTCAGACATCACGTCCGCAACCAGCGTCGGACACGAATCCCGTCTTCACGCACCCATTAAGTCCCAGCCATAAAGCGTAACAGTGGTGCCTCGGACGCCCTGCTCATCACACTCGTGCCAACTGCCTCGTGACACCAATACCGGAACGCCCACAAATCTCCCCGCCAGTATGTCCACCACACGTCGTATGTACACAAACCTTCTAACGCCATAGTGAAAACAGAAACACAATGCCCAACCGCTCCTTTATCTAGGGTATCAGGACCGGGGTATCTACCGGAAAACACCACGCACCAAATAGAACCATGCAATAGGGACAGAGAGAAAAGGAATGGGAGCTCAACCATCAGTGGAGTTACATCCAGATGACGAAGATGAGCGAGACGATGGCTAATGCGCAAGCCATGCCGGCAAAGTGCTTGTTGCCGGGAGCAGAAGGAAGGAATGTGGCTGTTGCGGAGAACAGGTCGCTCGTAGAGCGGATTCGAGGTGTTGTCGAAGCTGGTTGCTTTTCCTGCGCGGTGGCAGTTGTCGGCGAGGACAAGTTGTTGTTCCGAACGGGAAGCTTGACTTGGTTGGCATTGGCGTGCCTGCGTGCCGAGGCGCTGCGAGGTTGCTGGCGGCGAGCGGAGGATTGAAGCTCGATATTACGAGATGGCTTGCCGAGGAGGGCTTGGTCGTATTTGGCGTCACCCTTCAATTGATGCGCCACCATCTCAACAGGTGCTTCTCGGAGGGCGGGCATATCTAAATATTCCGCATCGACTTCAGACAAGTGACCAGACATGACCTTCGCGCAAGCATCCATCTGGGTCTGGTTACAAATCGGAGCGACCTATAATGACATGTCAGCAGGAGGCCAGTCATTCGTGGACAGGCAACACTCACGTGGAGGTCATGGACCTGGAGAGCTTCGAACCCGGTCAAGATACAAGCAGTGGCATCCTTGGACAGCGACAGGAGCCCACCGCGCGAGGCGTCCCAGCCCGTATGGCAGGCTAGGACAGTCTTCGCGTCGAGCAGACCACCTTGGCATTGTTCAGATCCTACGAGCAATTCGTCTGATGAGGCTCAGGTCAGCACATGTCCAACTGCAGGGTCGCGCAGAAGCGAAGGAACTGACTTGGAGGTAATTGACAGGTGAGACCTGTGTCAACGGGTGCGAGGGCAGCTCCAGCGCCTAGCAGCGCCGAAGCGACTATAGAGTACCGCATGTTGTCTAGAGCATGAGGTGGTGTGTTCGAGCAGGTTCCGAAGCGAGTGTGACTGTCGCGCAGAGCTGACGTGCCGAGCGAGCAGGAACAGGAGCAGAAGCAGTGATAGCGAAGGTGATTGGGATGGTAGCGAAGATTTGCGATTAAGCTCAGTCGTCAGGGTCAACCGATGGCGGGGGAGGGGATCCGGTCCAGAGCTCTGGCGCAGAGTGCCTTGCTCGTTCCTCCTGGTCTGGACAACCTTAGGAATGTCTTTGTGCTGTCGTGTTGCCCCACGGTCCACGAGGTTCTGAGGAATGTTTCGCTGGGTGACCCCGTTCTTCCCCGGCCAACTGAAACGAGTGATGGGGTGCGGGCCAGGATTTTTGTCAAGGGCGAGATCCGAGACTGCCGTCGAGTCGGGCTGTCAGGTCAATTGAGTCGAGATTTTCGCGGTGGGAGCTTGAGAGCCAAGCTTGAGCTGTCGTGATGTAGGCGGAGCAGAACTAACGATTGTATTCTGGGGAGAGCTTCAAGCCAGACGCAGCGGGGAGGAGGGAGTGTCTGCTTCGAGGGGGTCCCGTGGGATGTCTTTAAAAAAAGTGGCCTGGCCTTGCCTTGGAAGAAGGGTAGCTAGCCTTGGGACCTTGTGAGCCGATCCCGGTATGGTACTGGATGGAGCTGGAGCGGCGAGCGAGTGATGAAGCGAGAGAGGGAGAGAGATAAAGTAACGCACTAGAAGGCTAGCAGCGAAACCCCATGGTCTGACTAGTAAAGCACGCCGCGACCACAGTGGCGGGCAGAGTCGAGAAAGATCTTGTTTTCGGGTGTCTTGGGTTTTTTTCCCTCTCTTTCTCTCTCTGGTCCTAGTCCTGGTCCTGGTCCTAGTCCTTGAAGGCCGGGCCCGTCGAGTCCTACGGTACTAGGTCGAGTCTTTGTCAAGGGGGAAGGTCGAGGGAAGGATGAAGCGTGAGTGGCTGCAAACGAGTGAAGCTCCAGCGAAAAGATGGAGCGTGGACGGAAACGCGTGGAGCAACGAGGGGCGCGCAGTGGACCGACGTTCGAGTCCAGGCGGAAGCTGCGAGCGTGGAGTGATCCTAGCGCGGGCCGATTGCAGGGATTTCTCTTCGTATGAGGAAGGGGGGAGGTGGACCTGCACCTGCCATTGGCTGCACCTCCTGCAGAGGCACTTTGGCAAGCATTCTACGTCATGTCGCGATACATCCTTGTCAATGGGCAAGATAAGCAATCTGCTGCGGAACATGGGGGAAACATGGCGGCACAACTCATTCTGGGCTCCTCGGCCGCTCGACACGTCCGAATCTTGTACTCGAGCTGCCATCTGGCCATGGCTGACCGTCCATTACCTGTGCCGCGCCATTTGCAGTGCAACGCTAATCCGGCAACTCGATGAACGGACCTGCTTTTTTGCGATGCAGGACAAACAAGAGGATCTTCGGCAGACGTGCAGCGCATGCAGTGCTGAGGACATCCCGCACTAGAGACCTCGTACCGGTACCTGTACAAGTCCACAACCCGCCGCGCGGCGTCCCCTCCTACCCCCAAAGCTGGACGGTGATCTGAGGGAACCTATGGAACCCCGACCCTGATTTTTCTCTGCTACTATTCGCCGCTTGCCGAACTACCTTACTTAGTCAAGTCAAGAGGTAGAGGGAGAGAGGGAGAAAAAAAAAGTCAATGGCCGATCTCGCGAAAACCGGTTGGATCTCTGGGCGTTTGAACTTGGCTTTGATGCATGGGGTCTCTGGACCCAGAAAATCTTGCATGGTGCGACGTAGCATCCAGCAGTATTATTAGGCCCAGCACGCGGCCAACCGGTAACAGGTTTACCTGCGCTTCAGGCGTTTGGTTGATTCGGTCCAACGGCCCGACTGCATGGAGATGCGCCGTGCATGTCGTGTTTATTTGCATTGTGATGGGCAGCCTCGACGTTTCGCCTGTTGGTGTCCATTTTGTATGCTTGAATACTATGACCAAAGGTACGTTATCGGGCGATGACGACGACGGGTGTGTCGCAGGGTGCCATCGTCGCCAGCTGCTACCTTTCTGCCTCATTGACTCCATCGATGACCTTCGTCAGCCTTGCATGCCCGTTCCGAAAGCCGCAGAAGACGCCCGCCATGATTGACGCCGAGATTCGCTGATCGAGTCCGCAAACGATTTTCTCCAGTAGGTATCCAGGATAGCGCGCACGCCACGGAAAAACCATCAGCGCCACGTTGAATCCTGGCTACTTGATAGGGTGGCTAGTTATCGAAAACACATGCGCAGATGGCAGCAGCTGGTGCATGAATCCATATTCAACCACTGACACCCCATATGTTCTATCTGCTACCGACGTACCTAACCAGAATCGTGCGCTTCGTGTCTTACACGATCGTCGTCAAGCAGTATCACCAATAGAACTTATGCTGCTGGGCGCTTCGCTGTCACCCCCGATATCGTCAGGCACGGTTGCGCCGTATAACTTCCCATGGCTGAGCATCTCATCATCCTCCCTCCTCCATTGTGCTAGTGTCGAGATGGCTTCTTGGGTGTCCACATGGCCCTCTCCATTGGCCTTCAAACCAAACTCGACAGAAGCCTGCATCCACTTGGCGGCATCCTTACTTCGACCTCTCTCATAGCATATGCAGGCCAGATCAAAACATGTCAACGGGAAACTGCTGGGCTCCCCTTGGTCCTCGTTCATCAGGCTGACAGTCTGCGCATACAACTCGTCTGTTTCAACTTCCAGTCCCTGCATCAGCATCAAGTATGCCAGATTGACCTTCGCTGCGATAGTCCGAGGGTGTGACTGTCCGTATACTCTAGACGTCGCCCTCAGATACATGTTCTGTAATTCGCTCGCTGCCCGGTATCGACCTTGACGTATGTATATGATTTCCAAACCCTGCATGTCGATTAGGGTGCCTCGGTGTTCATCGCCATGGATACTCGACATGATGTTCAAGTTTCTGTCCAGCAACGCCTCAGCCAGGTCGTAGCGCTTTTGATGGCAGTATATTGTGGCCAGATGTCTTTCCATGCAAAGGGTCAGGGTGCCGCTCTCGCCAAACACATGCCGGGCCATCTCAACTGCATAGACCTCAAGCTTTTCAGCCTCATCGATTCGGCCCTGGTGTCGGTACGCGAACGCCAAAGTATCTGCGGTCGCTAGCGCCATAACACTCTGTTCGCCATGGCGCCTCTTTGCTGTTTCCAGCAAGTACGTGCATGTCTCTTCAGCCTTGACAGGTTGTCCTGTGCTCACATACAATAACCCCAACACACGCAAAGAATACAAAGTTTCGTCATGTTCTTTGTCCAACATTCTTCTGCGCAGACTGAGTGCCGTCTCGATTAATCCCAGAGCTCTAAAGGGCTTCCCTATTTCGAGCATGTAACATGCCATGTGGTGCATGAGTCTAGCTCGGTCAATCGAGGACTCTGAATCGGGAGCTTCTCGGTCCACGAGCTTTTGGAAATGAGGTAACAGCGCTTGACATCTTTCCCAGGTCCCAAATTCTCCGTTGGGGAAGTTGATGGCCGCCAAGCGTATAAAGAGTTTCCTCCATCGCTCCGGTTTGCCAAACTCTGCCAGCCATTTTTGCGTGCAGAACTGAACAAGGGCATGCATGTCGTAGAAGCCAAGTGTGGTTGTGGGAACGATGAGAGAATAGCCCATGAGAGCATCAAGGTCGTCTTCAAGTTGGCCGTCGTCGGAATTGGCTTCGGGCTCGCCAGGCGATTGGTCATCTGGCAAGGACCACTCTCGTTGACTTGAGTCATGCCTGGTTCTTGAAGAAAGGCCGACGTAGCCCTGGAGAACTTCTTCCGGAATGTTCTGAGAGTGAAAGAAGCTCATGAGCGACAGTAGTTCGGCTGACGACGGTCTTTCTCGACGAATCTGTTCAAAGGTGATCTGCCAGGTGACGACAATGGAGTTTGATGCGCTTTCCAGTCTCCTCAGGTCTCCAGAGTCATGGTTTAAGAGACTCCCTTGCCGCGCCTCGTTCTTCCGGAAATTCTGGATATACGACTGGATAGACTGTCGAGGGGTTCGGCGGTTGATGTACGCAACCGCCTGGGTGACGGCAAGCGGGATCAATTCAAGGATCTGAACAAGTTCCTCCGCGGCGGTCCTTTCGTAAACGAAGGTCGCATTGTTGTGGACAAGCTGTAAACATTCGGCCTGGCCCATAGTTGGTATTTGGATGACAGAATGATGACCACCTGTCAGTCTTTCTGCGGCATTCATGCTTCGCGTCGTGACCAGAATTTTCCCATCTCCAGTCTTGGGTAAGTACGCTGCTAGAGGCTCATGCGTCTCGTGACTGCTGGCTGAACTGGTACTCGGGGCGGTATCCGTAGCGAAGAATACGTCGACATCATCGGCGTTATCAAGGATCATGAGCCACTTTCCAGGCTTCGGACCTGTGAGCCAGTCTCGGACAAGTGTAAGGATGCTCACACCAGGCTCATGGCGTCGAGGAATCTCGAGTAGGTCCGCCAGGGAGCGGTAGGATTGCTCTATTCTCGCTCGTGTGCTGCCGTGTACCCAGAAGACGCTGGTAGCGGCATCAGAGATTGTCTCTCGGACACGATAAGCGAATTCGATGGCGATCTGGGACTTTCTAAGGCCTTTTAGTACGAGCAACAATGAGGTACTATGTCCCCTGTTGACGGCCCAAAAGAAGAACGGGGCTTACCCAAACCCGCCCATGCCCACGAGGGCTATACGCTGTCGAGAGCCTTTGTATTGGTCTTCCAATCGTTGCATGAGTGTAGACCGGTCGACGAAATCCGGATCGCGAGGGAACGGTATCGTGAAGCATGCTGCGGGTAGATCAGGGCTAGGGGGCTTCGTGGGCGCCTTCTCTGCAAACTGCAAAGTCATCTGCTCCATCAACCTCGTATTTCTCTGGAGGAGACGAGTTTGGTCCATTTGTAGTGCATCGGTGATAACCCTCTGATAGCGCTCAAAATTTTGGACCATGGCATTGACGTCTTTCTTCTTGAATGGCCACTGAAGAGCTCGAGAGCCGATACGACGCATCCGCGATCCTGTGGCAGCGGGCTCTAATTTCGACTGCAGGGCGTAAAGTTCGTTCTTACACTCGCCTAGAGTTTTTGCTACCTTCGCTAATGTGGGAAGCGAGCTGCTTGGTCCGTCTGACGGGTTTCCGCTTGAAACGCGATCTTCTTCCAAAAGCTTGTTTGCATCCTCCACCACGAAATGGAGTTTCTTGACATGACTTGACAGACGTCCGATCTCTTCTCGAGCACCAGCGACAGCGATCGAATACTGGTAACATAATCTGGCCACTTGTGCAGATAGGTCAACCACGGCAATCACGTTAGCCGCGATACCAAGACCTTCCATGTCGAAGGACGCCAGCGTGGACGATCAAAGGCACGAAAGAAATTAGTGAGTCAGTGTTGATTCGCACGAGCTGCGGATTCAGAGTTCAGGCGCGGTTTGCTGGGACCGATGTTTTCTGGCAGCCCTCGAGGAAGTGCTTGCGGCTATCAAAATGGTAAGACTGCTGATGTTGGCATCCTGGAGCCTTGTCTCGCCATGTGTCGAGCGGGGTACCGCTCGCGGGGCTGACAGGAGCTCAAGTGTAGAAAGTGAAAGATGCATGATAATGCTGTATAAATGTCATTGGCTCGAGGCTGATGTACATCAACTCTGTGTTGCACAGAACGCGAGAGACGGAGAAAACGGTCCCTTGCCATGTCTGCTTCAGGAGATCGACAACTTGCGGACGAACAGACACATTTCCAGCACATGGAGAGTGTCTAACGACATGAAGGTCTGGGCCCTAGGTACGCAGTGGATGTGGGTTGAAAAAGAAGCAAGCAAGCTGTCGTTGTGGCAGGTGGCAGGCAGATGGAGCTCAAGCATCGCAGCAGAAAAGGAAGGAGACGTGCCTCAATCTGTGTCTCCCTTCAAGCGTGCGCACATAACCTGTTCCAAGCCTCTTCGAAGGAAAGAGCGCAAACTATTAGATGCGGCCTGTTCAGCGCCATTACTTTGCCAGCGATGCAGACCTCGGCCGTGCTTAACAGCTGGCAATATTGACGGCCAAACGGTTTCATGACGATGACAAGGGCTGGATGTGGCATGCGAACAGACGCTCCGCCCCCGTGACTACTTCTTACCACTCAGATCCCCCGGATTCATTGGATCCTCTAGTGCACCTCAGCTTACCTGCAACACACCTGCACTGAATCTCATGTTAGGCGGTAGTTCCAAGACGATCTAGGCATGTCGATGTTATCTGGAATGATCCGCCTCGAGGTACCGACCAAATATATAGGAAACGCCACCGCTGCGTCATCATGGTAATTGTCAATACCCATGACGGCAAAGTCTAATATTTTGGAGATGTTGACGTTCAAACATAAGCGCACGATCACTGCCCATTAGTAGTCGCTCCCTTGGCGGCGATGGCAGGACGTCAGGGATTGCCCCCCTGAAACACAACCAGAGCCCCCCCCAAGCATGAACGAGGCCCGTGGGACCGACGCGTGCGAGTCTGTGCCACACTCAGAGAACACCTCACTGACCACAAGCTGCCAGGCGCGCCCTTGCTTCGAAACGAACTCTTTTCTGCTCTTGCGTTCGAGTTTGATGGTTTTCGGCAATCCCGTTGGTCAGGATTGCCTGCCGAGGCCTTTCCTTCCTTTGTGCGAGTTCCTGATCGCCAATCTCTGGCACAAGATCGCCAGTCCTTGTCTGGGGGAATAACCCTTGCACATGCCTCAGAGGGTGACCTCTCAATGGCTGGAGGCAGACTGTTTCTCACGAGTCGAATGGGGCTGAAGCCCATCTGTGGGCTTCCTCGGTGAAGCGACTGTGGCGGTCAAAGTTTCCTTCCGCTCCTGCGCGTCATCCACTGTCACAGTTGATCTCTGTTCGCTGCTTGGCACTTCTTTTTTTGCGATCTATCCATCCTCGTGTACGAAACTATCTTCAGCAGACTCATGGGGCGTCCCTCAAGTCCAAGACCACCTCGCTCGCTCGACTTCTGCTTAGAGACCTTGGTGGCCCTGTTCGTTTACAAGACGCTTGACGCCGTTGTCGCCCAACTTGCCCGTGTCTGGGCCTTGAAGGACCCGGACCCGTCGGCGGCGGTGTGCCAGCCCTTCGGACGAAACTGACGCAGCGGCTTGAAGATGTGTCTACCTGTCGGTGCCTCGCGAGTGCGAGGCCTTCCCCCCGACCTATGTGGCAGCTGGACATGACTTAAACGACCCGCCGCCCGCCGTCTGGGCTAGGGGCTTTTGTCTATCGTCATGTAGGCTGGCTGTCGTCGTGGAGGGTTCGTCGACGAACGTCATCTTTTGGCGTCACATAGCGTCCGCTTTGACTTCAGCGTGTGCTCTCCCATATAACCATTATACCCTCAACATGTCACTCAAGTTCTACAAGACACCAAAGGAAGACCATCCTTGGCGGTCGCCCGTTCAAGATGACACATGCAGTCGCTACGCTGCGGCAGCCGCCAGGGCGAAGAAGTGGCTGCCTCCTACATTACGCTTCGAACAAGTTGTCAGGAATCATACCATGCCGGTAGGCGCATGAGCCCCTCCCGCCTCATGGATGTCCTGCTAATTAGCAACAGCCCTGCTCTTTGAACGACTTTATGGATTACTTGGTCTACGTCGAACAGAACGCCGAGCCCCTGCAGTTCTTCCTCTGGTATTGCGGCTACGTCCAGAGCTGGATGGAACTTGACGCCCATGAGCGTGCCCTCGTGCCTCGCTGGGATCCCGCCGACGCTGAGGCCCGCGCCGCTGCGAAGACTGACGCCGATCGCAAGCGTAGAGGGCCCCGTGTCGCCATGTCAGGTCGCTACCGAAGGGCGCGCAATGCCAGTAAGGTCAGCAACATTCTCGAAATATTGGACGCCGACGGGGAGGAAAAGGAGGAGAAGCAACTTCTGGGATCCGCGAGTCCCGCCTCCTCGAGGCCGTCCAAGAACTTTTCGAGGCCATCGGCGCCCCCCGGCACCGTCGAGGCCTGGATATCACCTCGTGAGCTTCTTTGGCCGTACTCTCCTTGTCTAGCACGCTGACATATCTAGCCCACCAACCCTTCCGTGACGAGGTTACACAAATCCTGAACCACTACGTCGACCCGTCTGCGCCCCGCTCACTGAGCCTTACCATGCAGGATCGCGCTGCCATTGCCGACGCGACAGCTCACACAACCCACCCGACCTCCCTACTCCCTGCTTTTGAAAAGGCCGACGCCATTCTCCGGGGCCACCTCCACCCAAACTTCATCCGCTCATCCATTGCCAACACAAACAGCCCAACGACCTACGTGCTGCGCGTGTCCGCTTGGCTCCTGTTGATGCTCGGCTTCAGTGCCGCAGCTGCACTAAACCTCTGCACCGCGCGGTTTGCGCTAAGCCGGTACTGGCGGATTGCGCCTTTCGCCTTGTGGGCACCCGGCTTCGCGATTCTTGTCGCCGCTGCCGACGGGTTATCAATCTCACTGTACTTTGCTGGGAGGCGGCAGCTTCGTCCGTGGGAGGCACAACCCACACCGGCCGAGCTTGAGGACGCGAGCTGGCGCGGCCGAAGGGCGGCCCGGAGGGCTACCGCCGCGGCATCACCGGTAGGTGACGATCCACTGCGGAAGCCGAGTCTTCGGACCTTTGGTCCAGGGAACGGGTTCCGAAGCGAATGGTGGGTGCGCGCCTATGCGAAGACGGGGCTTTGGTGGCGGATCTTTGAGACGACGAGACCTGTCGGCGAAGGAGAGGTCAGAGTTCTCCAGGACGGGGTCGTGATTACCGCGTTTATCTGGGCGTTTGTGCTCGCTGGAGGGTTAGCGGCGGGATCGGTTTTTGTGCCTGCTTTTGATCCGTGGACGATGAAGGTGATGTGAATGACTGCGGAGGCTATAGGAGTAATAATATGCCATAATGTTAAGTTTAGCAGCAGATCATCGAGGCATCAACTGAGATCCCCACGTCTCTTCTCCACCAAAGGGGCATTCGGAAACTTGACTTGGTACTCCGAACGGAGCCGCGATGCAAGAGATGAGTTATCTTCGCTAATAGAGAGGGTCATTAATCCCTAACTGTTGCAACGTCGAGCAACATTCTGACTTAAATGTATGCGATCACGACCAAATTCAAGTATAAAAACAGTGGAATGAAAGAAACATTTGTAGGATTCAGGCAGTTAGAATAGCCTTAGACTTGAGAGTCAGCCGCAGACATCTTGGGAACCCTTGTGGATTGGGCCATCTGTCGTATCATGGAAGGTTTGCGTGACCGACTCAGTCACTCCACTCGACTGAAACGAGTAGTCTTCTCGATGATTCTCTGATCTTGTTGTCGTGATGCGTTGAGCACCTCGTACCTTGCACACAAAACATGAAGTTTAGGGGCACATTTACTTCGTGTGGTTCGGACAAGACAAACAGTAGAAGAGAGATGCGGCTCGTGGCACAGCGTGTGGGCGTCCTCGTACTCTGTCAGCGCAGCGGCAAGTGCTTTACGACGACATAATCAACCGAGAAAAATACAATGCACAGACAACGCAAGGCTTGCTCAGGCAGACTTCGGATCCATGGTGTATCCATACACAGAGCCTGCAGCCGGACGGGCGCAGGTACTTTGCCTGAGTCGTCTGCGGTGCGAGCTGCCCAGGGGACTAGCTGAGTGCTCAGCCAGGCTCCTTTGAGCGCCCGCAGACTCCGGAGGGGCATGCAAAATCGCTGGCACATGGCTTTCGGGAGCTGGAAAGCCAAGGCCATGTGTGACCTAGAGATATGCTGCTCGTCGTCAATTGCGGGCGCTGGAGATGAATGACCAAGGAAGCGATGGTGGTGACCTCGCAAGGACTTCACAACAAGGTCAACACCAAAGTGTCAGAAGCGTGATTCGGAGAAGAAGTTCGGGGTATGGAGAGAGGACGCCACATGGGATGCCTGCAGGCCAAACAGTTCATCACGTGGAGCTGGGGGCTGGGGCTGGAACAGCTTCGATGCCGCCCTCATACGATGAGACCAGTTCAAGTTTGTGTGCAGGC